CGCCCCCCCGTCTCTCTCTCCCCTCTCCCCCTCTCCCCCTCTCCCCCTCTCTTGCCCTTCCTTCTGTTCTTGAGTGTGTAGCACCTGTCATTGTCTCGCCTGTACGTGAAAGATAAATAGTCAAAAAAAAGCATGAGGGGAGTGAAAATGCGTGGATGCGCGCAGTGGTGGATGAAAACAACCCGATATGTCACCTTTTAAGTACATGTGTGTTTACATTTGCGTGTGCGATGCTGTGATGTCGCTCGAAGAAGTATATCCGCCTTAAGTATTCTTCTCCTCCTCCTCCGCAGATCGCCGTATCATGTCTGTCGTCTGCGTCTGCTTCCACCTCTTCATCCATCTTCCTCCTCCCCCCCGTCCTGTCTCCCGACCTTCTTCTCTTTCCTCTTCTTCTTCTTCTTTCCTCCGCTTCACATTTCGCGATGGTGTTGCTCCAGACCAAGTGGTGCGATGTGGCGACCGTCGTGGTGTTCACTGCTCTGGTGGCAGCAAGGGCAGGACCGGCGGGGTGCCCCAGGGGACCCTCCGTGTGCCTTCGCCCTGTCTCTGGGGTGGCCGCTTAGGGAGGGAGGGTGTGTGGGGTAGGGGGACAGGGGAGGAGGCCGGGTGTCTTGGGGGAGAGAGGACGGGGGGAGGACCTCAGGGGTTAGAGGAGGGGGAAAGGGGTGTGAATAGAGGAGGTGGGGTTTCATTAAGCTGGGATGGAGGCGGCGTTGGAGGAGGGCACATCGCGTTTCTCTCTCCGTGTGTGGGGTGGCTGAGGTTAGAGAAGGGTGGAAGAATTGGGGGTGATATTAATGGAGAGGGTGAGGTGTAGATAGAGGAGGCGGGGGTGATGTATTGCGGGGGAGAAGGTTAGAGGCGCGGAGCGAGTGAAAGGGTGTAAGAGCTATAGTTGTAAGGAGTGTGAGTGGTGGACTGGGAAGAGGCTGTCTTAGGATCTCGATAGGTGGTGGTGAGTTTGTGAGAAGCGGAGGAGAGTTGTTGGAGGGGGTGTATTTAGGGAAGAGGGTTGGGGGAAAGGTTGGGTCTCATGCTCTGTTGTGTCCCTTGGGCGTTTGTCCGGTCGGTTCTTGTGGTTTGGATGAGGGTCAGGGGTAATCGGCACTTCTCAAGGGAGGACGGTCGTTCGTCCTGTGGACCACTGCGGTGCGAAGGGAGAGGCGTGCCGATTTCGGAGTGGTTGGTGGCTGGATAGGGGGAAGGGGAGCGGAGGGAGGAAACGAGGCAGGCGTATGGGGCGGGTTGTTGATGTGATAGAAGGCGGGATTGGGGGATGGGGTGGAGAATGAGGAGTGTGGGGTAGAGGAAAGAGCGAGGTGGTGCAGGAGAAGAGGCATCGGGAGGCTGGCGAGAAGGATTTTATGGCGGACCGGGAGGGGGGCAAAGGCCTAGCCGGGTTATGGGGTGAGGCGATCTATGAAGGGCAGGAGGAGTGGGAGGCGGGGAAAGCTAGCGGGGGGAGCGGGTGGAGAGAGCGTGGGCAAGAGCGAATGAGGCGAATGGATAGGGGGTGGAGGGGGGTAAAGGGGAGGTAGGGGTAAGAGCAGGAGCAGAAGGAGGGGGGCGATCGATGAGCAATGTCAGGACGGGCGGTGAGGAGGGTATGTGGAGAAATTAAGGAGAGGAGAAGGAAAAATGGAGAGAATCAAGAGGGGTAAAGAAGGGAAAGAGAGAAAGGAAGAGGGGATAGGGAAGTGAGAGAGGCACGAGGGAAGGGGTCCTGGAGAGCGGGAAGTAAAGAGGGGAAGAAGGAGTGATAAGAATAGGCAGAGGAAGAGAGAATTAAAAACAATAACGACATTGCTGCGACGAAAACTACTATTGAAACCGTTACAGTTAGTGATAGTAAAAACAACAAAAATAAAGGATTTGTTTTTTCCTACTTTTTTCTAGTCATGTAATAACATACGCCATAGGTATTGGTCTCTCTCTCTCTCTCTCCTCTCTCTCTGTCTCTCTCTCTCTCTCTCTCTCTCTCTCTCTCTCTCTATCTCTCTCTTCTCTCTCTATCTCTCTCTTCTCTCTCATCTCTCTCTCTCTCTCTCTCTCTCTCTCTCTCTCTCTCTCTCTCTCTCTCTCTCTCTCTCTCTCCTCTCTCTCTCTCTCTCTCCTCTCTCCCTCTCTCCCTCTCTCCCTCTCCTCTCCTCCCTCCCTCCTCTCTCCCTCCCTCCCTCCCTCCCTCCCCCTCCCCCTCCCTCCATCCCTCTCCTCCTAAAAATAGAGAGGTGGAAAAGGCAGAGCGAAGGGGAGGAGGAGGAATGGCAGAAGGAGGAACTAACAAGGGCATAACGGGGGGTGTCCGTGGGCGACGTAGGGACGCGGTGACCGCCCCTTCGCCTTTTATGATTTGCTGTTGACGTGTCTTTTACGCCCGTCGTTGACCTCGAGATGATGTCGATAATTAGCCGACCGCCGCCGTACCTCACACACTGCCGCCGAGGGTTGTCTTCTCTCGCGGTTTTTGTTTGTTTGTTTGTTTTCGCATTTGTGTCGGGGCGGTGGTTGGTTGTGCTTTCGTGTTCCTTTGTTTGTGTGATTGATTCTTTTTTTGTTTTTGTTGTTTGTATTTGTTTGTAGTTTTGCTTTTTTCGTTTGTTTTGTGTTTGTTTTTGTTTTTCTTTGTCTTTTCTCGCTTATTTTGTTTCTGTTGGTTTCTTTTTCTCTTGTATTGATCCGTCTGTTTTTCTGTTTCCGTCTCCTTTCTCCTTACATTTCTGCCTCTTCCTATTCCGTTATGGCCTAAGGCTGGGCGTGCGATATAACAAGCGTAATAGCACAGCAACAGTGAGCTGCGTAATGCATACCCACCCTCCCCCGCTCTGTGCCTCCTGCCCCCTGCCCCCTCCTCCTTATCTCCTTTTTCCCTTCTCCCTTCTTCCACCTTATATACTTCCCTCCGTCTTCCCTTCTCGGCTGCTCCCTCCTTCCCCTCTTCTCTCGGCTGCACCTTTCCCTCCCTCCTCCTCCCCTTCCCCTTCCCCTCCCCCTCCTCCCTCTTCCTTTCCCCCTTCTCCCCCCCCCCTTCCCCCCTCCTCCCTCCTCCTTCCCCCTTCTTCCCCCTCCCCCTCCCCCTCCTCCCTCCTCCCTCCTCCTCTCCCACTACCCCCCACCTTCCGTGTCGTGACAAGGTGGAGGCAACGGGGCGCGCTGCCTGGGAACCCAAGCCTCCTTCCTCCTTCAGACGCACGCACGCACGCACGCACGCACAGGTTCTTCCTTCTTGAGATTTGCGTGTTTCTTTTCTTTGTTTTTAATCTTCATTTCGTCATCTCTGTTTGCATTACTTGATATTGTTATCATTGGTGTGGTTATTGATATTATTGACGTTTTACTATTATGATGATTGTTATTATTATTATTAATATTATTATTATTATTAGCGGTAGTAGTAATAATAATTATTGTTATTGGTTTTCTTTTCTTTTCGTCTTCTTTGGTCATATCTTTTTGTCCTTATATCTCTCCGCCTTTTTTCTTTTTTTTTTGCTTCACTGCGCCTTCTTTCGCTTTTTGCTCGTTTCTTTTATGTTCTATCTTATTTCTATATCATGTTTCAATTTCTTTATCCTTCTATACCTGTTCCATAGATATTAATGTCGTTTTGTTATGTATAGTACATCTGATATTGTTATTACTACTGATACTATCACTACTACAATTACTACTACTATTATTATTACCTACTACTATTACTACTATAATTACTATTACTACTATTACTACAACTATAACAATTACAACTACTTACTTCTATCTTCACTACCACTGCACCACCACTACTATACTACTACTACTGCCTACTACTTTACTATACTACTACTACTACTACTACTACTACTACTACTACTACTACTACTACTACTACTACTACTACTATTACTACTACTACTACTACTACTACTACTACTACTACTACTACTACTACCACCAAACGCCCCGTGCAGCATTACCGACAACGACAATTCTTGAAGGCGGCGAGCGGTCTCCGTCGGCAGCCAAGGCACCTCCAGCATACCTGTTCGTGCGTCCAATTTGCTCGCGTGATTCACATAAGGCATTCATCCGCGCTGGATTGAACCCGGCCAGTCAGCTAACCGTAAAGTTGACTCAAGTTTTCCTGTATAACTTTCTAAGATGAAAAAAAAAAGATTAAATGATACACTGGGATTTTTTTTTTGGGGGGGAAGGGGTAAGGAAGGGGTAAAAGGGGGGGTGGGAGGGTAATCTAGTTCGTTGTATCGTGCGGATGATTAGACCGTGTGCGTGTGTGTTTGTGTGTACGAACACGGGTGAAACATGTGTGAAAAGGATTGCGGGCGGTATTTGTGTGTATAACAGTATGTCGCTCGTTAACTGGAATGTATATCTACGCTATCGTCGTGTTCGTAACTTCGCAGCTCGATTGGCCATAAAAGGACGCACGCATTGGTGCTTGGTAATCGAAGGCAAACATTGTGCGAGGCGATAATGAATGAGAAACGGCGAATGCGAACGTAATGGTGAGCACTTTCGCTGAGTGTGGGCGGGTGGGTGCGGGCCGCGACCTCCAGCGGCGGCGGGTACCCGAGTGAGGCCGCTCCCCCGCCCGTCTCGCTCGCCTTACATTTTCAGTTGTGTGTCAACCCGCGGCGGGAACGGACGCACGAGGCCCCCTCTCCCTGACCACTGTCACGTGACTCCCCGCCCGTCGCTCCTCCTGCTTTTGGACTTGTACTTACGAACCGTTTTGTGTGAGAGTGACTTCGCTGCGCACACGTCCTCTCGAGGAGCGCTGCCTGATAACTACTTACAGTGTGTTGAAGTCTCTAGCAAGTGCCTATTGCTAGTGTGATACTTTCATTCATTTTTTACGATGTGTGGCTAATGATGGTGGAGCGCGTGCCAGTGGCGAGCCGTAGATGTGCCGGACTTAGCAGTGCCTTACGCATGTGTAGCATTCGTAGTAGACTTTACCCCGCGTGTGACATGGTGCTGGTGCGTCGGTGAGTGGCGGGATGCGCGGCGGAGCCCTCTGCGTGGCGGGCCCGGGGGAAACCTCCCTCACCCGCATCTCACCCAGGATCCGCCAGCTTCAAGATCGCCTGATGGATTCCCTGCCCTGCGACGGCGCCTGGGAGTGCCTGTCCCCGGCGCAGAGGGAGGCCATCCTGTCTATCCACCGCATGCGCACCGCCTCCACCGACGACTCGAGCGAGCATGGCGAGGGCGGGGGCAAGGGCCACCGCAAGGGGCGCGGGCAGGGCATCCCGCGCTTCGTCCGGAGTCGAAGTTACGACGACCGCCTCGAGAGCGAGACGGACGACTCGGGCGTGCGCGGCGTCAACGGCACCAGCAGCGGCGCCACCAGCCACAACAGCCACGAGGACGACTCCAGCGACCCCGGGGTCAAGCGGGGCGGCAGGTTCGCCAAGGCCGTGAGCGCCGACAGGGCCACCAGGCGCGACGTCAAAAATGAGTTCCATGAGATGAACAATATGAAAAACATGCGCAAGTCGGAGGTGACGAACGGCTTCGGAAATGTGAACAAGATCATCTCGAAGCAGATGAACAAGGCGTCCGCCATGCCCTCGGGCCCGTCCAACATCACGCTGGACTGCCGCAACGTCCAGGGCGAGAAGAGGAGGCGTTCCCGCATCGACGTGAACGGCCTCTTCAGGGAGGGCAGCGCCGAGAGGAGCCTGGAGGCCGAGCCCCCGAGGAGGGCCGCCCCGGGCAGTGACTCGCAACAAACGAGAATCGGTCTGACGAGAAGGAACATTTTAAGTGAGACCTTCGAGAGTGACTCGAAATTGCACTCTCTCAAGGAGCTAAAAGAGACGGCCTCGTCAGAGGAGTATGACAGTGGAGTGAACTTTAAGAATGACGATAGCATGGACGAGTACGTGCGAGACCGGCAGAACGGTGGCTGTGATTTTAACAATGACTTCGAGTCCGACCGCACGCCGAGGAGCAGTGACACCACGTCCCCGTCCCTGCAGCGGAAGCGCGACCGGTCCACGGATCGGCTGCGTGCGAAGGGGGACGACCTCACCGCCAGGAAGGCCTCGGCCGAGCGCGACCCCTTCGGAGGCTGGGACAGGGACGACAAGAACAGATCTCGCGAGCGGGAGGTCCGGTCGGCGCTGGCCGCGGCCCACCCCGAGAGGCCCAAGTCCACCAAGCCCAACGGGGAGCCTCTCAAGAGCAACATGAAGGTCGCCTACGGTGCCAAGCTCAACTCGTCTTTCGATTACAGAACCAACCTGAATCAGGATCAGCTGAACAAGTACAGCAGTAATTGGAATAATATGATCCTGAATAACGATGTTCCTATAAAGCCCTCGAACGCCGCTGCCCCGACGCCGCAGGCCGCCGGGCGCGAGGCGCGATTCGCTAAAAACGGGTCGTCGGGGGCTCTCGTCCGCAGCACAGGTAACCTAGCAAATAAGTCCGCTGTTGCAGCTCAGGTCAAAAAGGGTGACCCGAACAACTGGATGATGGCGGCGGATCCGAGAAGAACTCCGAATGCCAGCCAAGACAGATCCGCTGCCAGCAAGAAGTACGTCCGCAGTAAGAGCTTAGACCGCAAGTACTTGGACGAGGACACCAGCGAGGAGGAGAGCGACTTCGAGACCCGCCGGAGGACCGACCGAGTGAGGCGGTACCAGAGAGCCAACCAGGACTGGGAGGTTGGGCGCCCTCACGGGGGCGACGAGAGAGGGCGGCAGAGGCTGAGGGAGAGCGACTCGCCGAGGAAACCCAAGGCGAAGAGCGCGTGGGACCTGTCGGGGCAGGCTCGGGCCGTCCGCGACGACTTCGACGAGTTCGAGGAGGTCGGCTTCAGGACCAGGAGCGACTTCAGGAGCAGATGGCAGAGCGAGGACAGCGACGTGAGGCACAGGAAGTCGAGCGACAACAGCGAGTTCGGCCGCATGCAGTGGAATCGCCGCAGCTGCGACTTCGACCTGGACTTCCCCGGCGAGGATCTAGACCGGAAATCGGGGGACAAGGATTTCGATCGGAAGCGCTGGTATCGGCGGAGCTGCGATCTCGACCTCGATTTCGACCTGCATCAGAACCGGCAGCGGAGGGAGGTGGAGTTCGACACCGAGTGGGGGCGACAGACGCTCGAAAACTGTGACGATTTCGAACCCGAGTTCGCAACCGGGAAGGGAAAGAGGAGCCGCTCGCGCATCGCGGAGCAGCAGCTGGTGAGCCTAGAGGCGGCGGGCAAGGGCAGAGGCAGAGGCGACGAGAAGGGCCGCCGGACGCGCGCCGAAATCGAAAGTGGTCGAGTGACGCGCCTGGACGGCGTAGACGACCGTCGACTACGTCTGGACGACGAGCCCGTCCGCCGCGTCCGCATGGAGGAGGACCACGGGCGTCGCACTCGCCTCGAGGAGCACTACCGCTCCAAGACGAGCATGGGCCACTACGGGAGGGAAAAGCGCGAGAGGAGCCGCACGCCGCACCTCCTCCGGGGTAAGCTACGTCTCCTAAAGTCCATCCTGTCCTTCTAA